ATGAATAAAGCTGAAAATGGTTAGATACAGTAGATATGAGTAAATATGTGCTATAAAAAGCTAAAATGTACATATCAGTAACCAAAGAGGAAAAACTGCTTTTTAATAATCTGCAATTTAGATGTTCAAAAATGCAGGAATCTGAAGCATGAAATGTAAAGAAATTCAGACATCTTAAATGTATGCTGATGCACAGTGAAGGCATCTAGATCTTATCTCTATAGTGAGTTATCTAGCAAAAAATAATGAAAAATTGAATGTTCCTTAAAAAGAAATTTAGTTTGGAATTACAAAAAATATGTGGATTACTCCAAAAGCAAAGCAACGATTTCCATAAAAACTACAACAGATACAAAGAGCACAGTAACGCTATTTGGTAGAGCAGATTTTCAGCTCATAACCACTATTTTTTAACATAGTCACTGCCATTAGCTGTGCATTTTTGCCAGCAATGATCAAGAGCCTGTATACTACCCTCATAAAAATCCTGATGGCCGTCTGAAACATGGCTTGTCTTTGTCACTGCTGCCAGAGCTGAAATGCACCAATCCACTGTTTGGTCTCTGGAAATGTTCAGCAAACATGAATGAATGTCAAGGTGTCAGTTTCTCTGCATGGAGGAATTCAATTCCATATGCACTTCCATGTCAGATACTGTTTTGTCAGTCTGCCATTCCTCTAAAATTTGCCACATGGCAATAAAATGTATTGGCATGGAAGATTTAACCTCTGCTACCATACCACCAACATCCACCTCTGATCTTGTTATGTGGTCTTGATCGGCTTGCATACATAAACTATAAGTGTTTAAAAAAAAAAAAAAGCCCAAGTGGCAGGCTTTTGAACTTTAGATAAATAGTTCAGTGTTTTCAAAAAAGCTAAAAGATAGTTTCAGAGTTTAAAGGCTGTAGTCTTTCAAACTATGTGGTTGTTACTGTATCATGCCTAACATAAACTGAATGGTTTCTCGCGAATCTTTCTCATGTTTTCTTCTTGCAACTCTTTCTACAGATATAAACTTCTGAGGTATTCCAGAGAACGTCAGTATATTGATGGGTTGAACAATTTAGTATACACTCCTAAAATACTTGTCAGTAGATTGTATAAAAATGTAACTGTTAATCTTATGCCAGAACTTGCTCCTATTAGAGACTATTGATGGAAATGGTGTGACAAGCTATCCTACTGGAGTAAACTTTCAATGCACTGGAAGGTATTAATAGACACTGAAGACACTGTAAAACAAAAAACACAACAATCAATGTCTTAGAATTAGGGTTTTTTGTCCATTTGATGATGCATATTTGGGATGAGAAGTAAAGTGATTGTATTTGCCGTGCATTCTGTTCAGAAAGAAAAGCCAGCAGCTACCACTCAGATGTTTACAGCATGAGACTACTGTTCAAGCCTTTGTTCTCCATGTTCTCTATCTTAACCACTCAGCTAAATAAACTGCAGAAAACAGACTTGCTAGCTTCACTGGAAGTAGAGACATTCTTCTTCCAGGACTTCTTTTATACTAAATTGCTCCCACTCTGCCCTCCTGTATTTAAATGAATGCTTTTGTTCCTTTTTAAAACGTGTTTTGTAAATATGTGATGTAAATTAATGTGTGTACATTGCTTTTAAATTGCTCAATATTTTATGCTCCAGTATGTATTTGAGTGTGTTCTTGTTTGAATTCTATAGGAATGTTTTTATTAGCATGAAAGAACAAGTGTAAAATTTAAGTATCCTTAAAAAAGGTTATACCTTATGTGAAATGAAGGAAATACTAATTGTTGGCCAGCTATGACTGTAAACTGTTATACTAGTTTTGAGCTCTAGGCCTCCTGCATATCTATATAGAAGAATCAATTTCATATATGAACTTTCTCAAAAGAAAGCTTTTAATTTTATTTATTGCCAGCAAAATTATACCCTGCCTGCCATCCAAATCATATTTATATGCCTATTGCATGTGTATTATGAAAAATCTCGCAGTTGTTACATACTATGATCTACAGGAACTCTTAAATGTTTCCACGTGTGCCACTAGTGTCAATGTCAGGGATTTTAATGCTAAAACAATGTGTCTGGGTGCGTACAGTATTTTGGTATTGTCTTTTTTTTTTAAATACTATTGAAAAGCACTTTTATTCCTCCAAAATCAGAAGAGCCAAAAATGTGTCTTCATTGGAAGAATATTAAAGTTAGATTTTTAAGAAAATAATAAAACGTAGTTCTAATGCTTGCAGTGTGGGATTTTCAGAAATGTGGTGTGGGTCAAACTGTTCCACTTATGACTGCACAAGTGGAACTGAAATTAAGCTAAGTGCTTTTTTAAATTCCACTTATAATATATTAATCAATATAGCTATTGAAGGGCCTATTCTAGTACAGTGCTGAATGCTTTTATGATGCACTAAGTATCCTCAAGTCTATGACTTCAAATGAGATTGAGGTTGCGCAGTTCCACTAAGAATTGGTCCTGTCTGTTTCTCTATTTTTGTGGTGTAAAATGTATGAGTAACTAGCCTCTCTCCTTGGCTTAGAATGAAAAACATATCTTCTTATTTTCCTATTATCTGTTTGTTTGTAATGTTAAGCTACTTATAAGCAACTCAATGCTAAGAAGTATTTTTTCCTAATTTTTTTTACATCCTTTATTTAGTAGTAAGGAAAAGGACTGAATCACTTATTTTCTATGTTAATGCAAATATACTGTCTAAGCTCTCCTGAACTGTTTTGTCGCAGTTGTTCAACTCTTTAGGAACCAAAGACTGACTTCTGCTCCTGTAAAGAATGGAAAGCAGTATAGGACTGTTTATCCATAGAGTGTTCTGTAAGAGTGTAGACAAAAAATGCTAACTCATTACTATGTGTTGGTTTCCTTAATTGCTGCCACAAATAATGTGGTGCTATGTACATTTTGTTTGCCATAAACGCTTTTTATTTCCTTGACATCCCAGCAGTAAATTTTACTCTTTCTTAGTCATTCTTAGGTAAAGTTAGGATTTTACTTAGACATCCCAAATATTTTGTAGAAATGTAGTGATTTAATTGTAGTACTTGAGAACAATTATAAGAGAGAAACCTTATGGGAATTACCCTGAAATCTACCAGTTTATCTAATATGCATTAGCAATGATGTGGTCCAATAAAAATAATGAAAAGTACAAAGTGAACAGAACATCTTTTCAAAAGTTAGATCACCTCTCGATATATTTTTATAACTGAGTGTAGAGGATATTCTGAAGCATATGGATAAAGGGAGATAATATATGTATGATCAACAACATCTTCAAAATAAAGTTGGTCTTATTTCATAACAGACTAATACAATTCTTTAAGAACTGTTGAATAAATCTTAAATTGTCGTAATTTTGAAGTGATTTCTGGTTTTCAGTACAAAGTTCACCTACAATTCAACACCTATGATTACGAAACATCCTTTAGTACTGTAGGTCTGTACTGTTTTCTGAAGCATGCTTTTGTGCCCTTTTGATAGGCATTCTGTGAAATGTGCCATTTTTAACCATTCAAATGCATATATGTATATATATGCATAGATACATATATACACAGTATGTTACACATTTGCTGTGGCTGAACTAATATAACTTTACAGCTATAAGTGATTAATCATGTCTGGTCTTAGGAAAAATATAATTTTAAACCAGGATGTGAATGGATTATGACATATAGCAGAGTTCTTGAAAAGTTTGCATTTGGGTGCCCCAAAGTGATGGATGTTACTTTATGAAACATTAACCAACACTCCGCTTTAAATAACTTCTATCACTTTGAAGTTTTCAAAGGTGCCATCTTAAATTACATCAAAATAATGTTTGTATACCATCTGCTTGAGCTCAGTACTATTCTGTACTTTTAACCTAGACAGTGCCTTCAAACAAAATAAATATGATACAGAACTAAGAGTTCTGTATGTTCCTTTTGATATTCTTCATAATTCTTGTAAAACGTGGGGGGAGGCCAAGCACATTGTTTTTTGCATTGCTGATGAGAAAAAGAGCATCTTCTCTTCAAGGAGTTAATTTGAAGGAGGGAGAAGAATTATTTTCACAAGATTCTCAAGTTCTTGCAGTTGAGAGTAAAAATTTTACAGAAATATTAACGGTTGAATCTGCTTCATATACTCAGATGCTCTTAAGTGTATTTTCCACAATATAAAACTAAATAGGAGAAAATAAAATCCATTTCAAAATAGAGGATATATTGAAAAAATGTACAAAATTTTCTTTTTCTCAGATCTTGCCAGTCTATTTTTCTATTACATTTACTAATGACTGTGTTGAAGTGGATTACTAATCAGCCAGTTACTTAAAAATATTACAAGTACCCACTGCTTATCAGCAAGAGGAAGTGTACTTAAGATTATTTTATTTGTAGAGGTGTTTAAGATAGGCTTAATGAAAAATGCACTGAAACATGCTGGGAATTTCCTGTGTACTATCATAATCTTGGTTTTTTTTGTTGTTCATGAAAATGTGTTTGTACTTTTTTATCATTGTCTTTTATGAAATATAATGTTCTAAAGATTGTGTTGGTTTGGTTATTCTGAGGCTTTCTGGAGAGGTATCTTGTTTTGATGATAAACCACTGATTTTTCTAGTGCGTAACTTCTTGAAATAACAGGTAGAGGAAGGGGAAGTTGAGCAGCAAATAAATCAGACTAGGCTGTGGTGGGATGACTTCTGTTAATTATCCTAATAGCTTTTCTCTGTTCTTGTTTAGGAATAATTTTCCTTGTATATGATTTACAATAATATGAAAAACATGAATGAGTCCTATCTCTTGGTGTTAAGCAGGAAGCTGATTTTCTCAGGAACAAGCAGTTGTCCTTTGTACCTTTTCCTTTTATCTTATTATCTTAGAGGTATTATTAAAGAAATGTCTGAATGCTAGAGGTATGTGAGTAATCTTTTGGGAGTACTTAAACTGGAGGCAAATATATTTACAGAATTCTATGCATCTTTTGAGAATCCACAAATAACTTCAAGTGTGTTTAGTGATTTTAATTTTCTGCAATAGTAGATATGGATTCTCCTTGAAAGTCTTACCAGCTATATTTAGGAGTAGAAAAGGGGGCTTTCTGAGTTCATTTAGAATCTTTGCATACTCCTATTTACCCTGTTGTCACTCAAAAGCTCCTCCTACGTGTGTAGCCCCATGTGATTTCATCCACTGTGGGCTTTAAACATAAAGTATAGGTGATGGCAAGTCATGGTTTACATTTCCCATGTGCTCACTTACTATGAGATACCTTTCAGGTATACTTTGTTCACTTTCTTTCCAAGGAATGTAGCTTATTAACATCACAGAAGACTTCGGTATGTTTTTTATAAACTTAATTTGTTTCTCTGAATGCTTTTATTCACAAGAGTGATTGAAAACAAAGTCAGTACATCTTCCTAAAGTTAACTAAAGGAATAAACAACTTGACTTTTGCTGTTAGTGATTTACTCTGGGAAGTGCTATGTAAATTCTAAAACTGTTACCACAGTCAGAAACTATTTGTAGAGTTTATGGAAATTTAAATTTACACATCTAAATCCTTATGTTTAATGTCAAGTTTTTATTCCACTGGCTCGCTGACTGCTGCTGTAGTTGAGTAAGAAAAGGGACTGAGGACAGTAGTGATGGAGTAATGTCGATAACCAACATCATTGGCTGTGAATACCACCTAGAAAAAGAAAAATAAATACAGGACAAATGAGAAGTGATCTCTAGACACAAGCCTACGTGTAGGTGAAACCATTGTGGTTGTCTGTCTAGTCTGAGCTTCCACAAAACTTTGGAAATTTCTTCTCTTGTTGTAATGTGGTCAGTACTCATCACACATTTCCACTGGTTGAGAAACTTTTGTTAAAAGCATAAATGTAACTTAAAGCTTTCTTTATTCTTTTTATAATTATCTTATATAATTTTTTCTTTATAATTATCAAACATTTATTATCTAAATTGAGTTTTCTTTGTTGATACTTATAAATGACAAGACTTTTTTTTTCCTTTAAGAGCTACGTTGAACACTTTACCTCTTTTTTTTTGGTTGTTTTTTTTTAAAGTATATTTTCAAGTATCTGAATAATTTTTTTGCTCTTACAAAGTCCTAAATATTGGGAAACAAAATGAAACAATATTACAGCAAATATATTCAGTCTAAAATATGAAGCAAAGCATTTCTTTAATCCTACTTGAGTTTCTAGTAGTTTCAGGACTGCATTAGTGCTTTGGCCATGACTAATGACCTTGTGTAGGAGAGTTATTTACAACAGCCTTTTTAACATCTCCTTCACCAGCTCATCTCCTGTTCTTCAATTCCTCCATCTAGTTGATTATTTTGTGCTGGCAGAAGATAGGAGTTAGAGAATGTAAACATTCAAAGCAGTTCATTAGCACTGTGATGCTTTTGTTCCTTTCAATGTTTCAATGTTAACTGAAAAAAAAAAATGCTTGTGAGAATTGAAACGGTAATAAAAATTCATACATATTTGAAAGTGAACTGAAGAAAATGTGATTCCTATGAAGGTTTATTCTTAAAGAAAGCTCTTTCACTTTCTATTAAATTTATGTCTATATTCCAGACAGGAAATTAACATTATGATGTATAGTCAATTCACTTGCACGTTACAAATCTTATCTCTCTTTCATTTCTTTTATCACAGAAAGAAAGATTGCCCAGCATTAACATTCATGGTCATCTAGAACAAGAATGTTATCTCTTACTCATTTTAGGGAGGCCAAAACAAAGCTTGATCTGGATGGTTGCTACCTTTTCTCCAAAGAGTTGTGGAGTGGATGTTTGAGCAGCAATTGCAAACCGTACAGCTCTTGGTGCTTACTGATCTGTCACAGACCAGCAAACAGATTGTACAGATCTGCTGTGGTTACTGCAGTGTAGCAACGTGTGAAGGAGCTGATACTATGAAGGGGAAGAGGACAGTCTGCCTGGAGTCCCAAACACTGGAGCTGGTTGATACCACTCTTTTGTTTGGACCACTCTTACCTAACCAGTTTATCTGTCTCACACAGCATTCAGTTGTAAATTGAGGATCCAAGCATCCAGAAAATAGTTCACACTTTGATTTATTTAGAAATATAAACTTTATATGCACCTGTACAAATATTGGATCCAAAAGGCAGAAAAATCCTTTTCCCAGCAGACTTAGTCTACTTATTCTCTCTCAGTTGTTTTGTCTCAGAGTCATAGGCTTAAGCAGAAGAATGGAAAATCTCTTTGTAAGTAATGCACCTAAGAGCTGATCTAAGAGTAATGGGGAAACTGGTAACTGTTTTGTCATGAGCATGTTGTCAGAATGTTTTGAGACTGCAAAATTTAAATGTTAATGCTAAAATATTTTAAAGCAAAAAGTTCAACACGTGTAATTATTAATTGAATCCTAGATGTATAATGTATCTTTATTCTTTGCAACTGACACACAGAATAAAATAAATACTTACATCAGCATGTTGATGGAAGGGATTCAAACCCAGTTTCTTCCAGTAAGAGGCTGTATCAAGCTCAATCTTATATATCCCTGTTACAAACTGTTCTTTAGTTGTAAGCTCTTGAAGCTCTCCATTTTCATTGGTTTGTCTGTGTGATGGCAGAAGAATTCAGCTTTTTAGCAGTTGTACTTAAGTGATATCACTTAAGTGATATTGTGTAGCTTAAGTAATGTCATGAATACGTCCTTTGATCTGTAATAACTTATGTCCATCTGTATTATGGATGTTTTACAGATCTTATCGTGACATTTACTGCTTCCACAGTCAAAACATCGGGTGGCTGCCTGCCATGTCACTACTCTGCATGGTTTAGGAATGAGCCAAATGTTGGTGTAGTTGTTCATAGGCTCTTGGCAGTATCTTAGAGTTGATTAAATGAAGTCACAGGGAAAACTTCATTGCTATAAGCAATGCAAAAGCTCTGTGATGCACTTAACTATGTGAGTAGGGTCAACTCTTGATTTTTCCATAGTTGGCTCTCTTATTTAAATATGTTGTTTTATCAATATAAATATTAATGAGTCAGCAATTTTAAACTTGAAATCTACTATTGGAAATGATTGTAGGTCAGCCAGCAGTGTAGTCTTATAGAATTCTTCGTTGTCTTTGCTGATTAGCTGTTTTTCTATCCTCATACAAGAGATGATATTTGAATTAAAGGTGCTATTGGTGCTATCTAAGGCTACAGAGCTTACTTGAGACTGTACACTTTGAAACACCAACCAAACTGGGATGCCAGAAAATATTGAATGCTGTCTCAAACATACCTCTTGGTTGAAATCTATTTCTGTGAAATAAGTTATATGAAATTATGTTTTTCATTGAGTAGGTTATCCACAAATAAGTTCTGGTAAGTGCCTGCTTTGAGTAGTCACAGACCACTGTATTGTGTTCCAGCTGGCAAATCTTTTATTCAACTTCCATGCAGAAAAAAGAATAGAATGTTATTTGTGCCACTGTCTACTATTTCTTAGATTTTGTACTTCCATGTAGATAATAGATATGAAGTAATTTGCTTCTTGAGAAATGCTCCTTAGTCAGTTGGAGGGTTTTTTATCCTCGTCATAGCTTGATTACTTTTAGATAAGTGTTTAATAAGCTTTCTCAGGTGAAACCCAACATGTATTTAATTGAGAATACTTATTTTTGAATCCCCTCCTAACATTCCATTATTTATAAACAATCAGGACTGGAGAAATTGACTTAGTACTATTGCAGCATTCTATACACCTTTGTTTCAATATGAAACATGTTTTAAGGCTCTGATTAACATACAGCTGCTCAGCTCTGTATCTTTAGATTAAGCTGCTGAGCTCAGACTTGGAAGTAACTAAGATGAACATCTTAATTGAAAATTACATTCATTTCCAGTGACAGAATATGTTTGAATCTACTTTATTTGTGTAAGGCAAATTATTTAACAAGGCCAACATGAATAAAGTTCTTCTTTTTCCCCTATTTGTGCAAATATGCATGACCTTCACTGTAGCTATGTTTGTTAAGGGCACGTATGAGAGCCCTGTTGCTTCTTCCAGCTCGCTGCTCTATTGCACCAAAGAGTCACCTACGTACAATTTCTTATGAGCTTTCTACAAACACATCTGTGCCTGGTATACTTCCTGCAGTATATCAGCTTTTGCACATATGAGCCCCGTGTCACCTTTTTTGGGGTAGAATATGCCATTAACAGAGTCCTAGGAAGAAAGTCTCAGGTGGGACTTTGCAAATATCTTGGATTTTCTCATGTTGATTGATTACTTTTCCTTGAAATAAAGGAGGCTATCAATTATTATGTGGAATACGTTTTAAAAAAAATGTATGTTTTCTTTTCAAAGCTGTACTGTTCTAGAAAATGAAAGACCATTTGAAAAGAAGAGAAATAACAATAAAGGTAGAATTTTCAATCAGAATCTTAGTTTCAAACAAAAAGAGTCTGCTTGACTCCTCTGGTAATAATGCAGCACTTCATTGGTGGGTATTAAAAAGAAATATGATGCTTTGTAATAAAATTACATTATAAAACTATTTTGGTAGTTGAAACTGTAGTACTGTTAAAAGACAACCTGCAGCAAATAAAATGTAATTCACTCAATAGTGTGTCTTCTCTCTGATTAAAAAAAAAAAAAGACAATGTTTATTAGAAACTCTTGGCTTTCCCATTGCCTTTCCCTTCTCTCACTTCATATTTTGGTATGACTTACTTTGAATTTAACAGTTCCCAAGATCCATCTGCAGCTGCTTTATATAACTTAACTGGAACATTTGGAGCTGGACTTCCTCGGACTGAATCCAGAATTTTTACAACAAGAGGATGCTTGGAATCAGAAGAGCCCTTCAGGTAGGGAGAGAGAATTGTTTATGTTGTAAGAAAGGTAAGAAAGGGGGCATAATAAAGCAATAAGGAGTCTTGTTCTTTAGCTTTACAGAATACACCTTCTCTACAAGATTACTGTGTACTCAGAAATACAGCCTGAAGGTTACTCGAGGCTGGAGACAGTGGAACCAAGGAGGAGGATATTAGCAGGCACAGGGAGTCAAGTAGCTGTGTGCAATATATAGACACAGCAGTTGTGTGTGAAAATGCCTTTTTGTTTTCCCTTGGGGATGGCTTGCATACACATCATTCACAGCATAATTTTTAACCAAATTGTGACCCAGACACAAAATAATTAAATCATCAAAAGTAGCAAAAATGTTTAAAAATCGGGCAGCTTTTCCTCTATGTTTTGGAGTTTGGTATATGCCCTCTATGTTTTGCAATTTGAGCAGAGCTTTCTGAATTTGTTGGCTTCTGATCTAGTCATTTTACTGAAGAATTATCTTAATTCAGCTGTGAACTTGATAATTACCACATACTGAGTCTTCTCTAATGCCATAAAGGATCAGATTTCTCATCCCCAGGCAGTTATGCGTGGGTAGAAGAGGAACTTTTTTTTTTTCCAACCATGGGATGGTGATAGTTTCCCTCCCATCACATCACAAGGCATGGTGTTTATGGTATTTTTACATTCTTGAAAGGAAAGCTGAATCAAGGCTTTATCTTTCCATTTCCTAAATATGTAACTGAAAAGTGAGAAAATAGAGCTATGTAGAAGGTGCTAATCAGAGATCCACTCAAAATAGAAATCACTGATCTCTATTTAATCATTGGAAAATGAATCATAATGTAGATGGTAAAAATTGAGCCCTCTCATACGTCTTCTCTTTCATTGTATGATGTACTGAATGTCCCACGGATCGGGAGCCCCACTCTGTGTCAGATGTGTATCAGGATGTATCTATACCACCACCCATATGAGAGAGAGAGTTGGTTTGCATCAATGCGTGCATGGCAGCAGTAAGTAAAGAACAAGAAAATACATTACTCCAGCATGGATTCTCCTCAGCCAATGCAGCTAAAACTAATGAGGGAGGAAGTGCTGGGTACCACAGAAAACTGCAAGAACTTGCCAGAACTGCCTTGAAATCACTCACTACCTTGCTCATTGTGTTATAAGGGCTATAGTTTCTTTTTGAGAAGCCCAAGGCCTTTGCATACTGACTACGGTATTTTTTTCCCTTTCTTTTCTAACATGTTTTTTCATGTAGGTGCTGAGTCTGATAGCAAGTGCTACTTCTCTAATCAGAAAGCTCTCTGTTGAGGAGAAAGAAGGACCAGAAAAAATGCAGTAAGAGAGAACTCTAGTCAGTAATACAAAAAAAAAAAAAAATTGAAGTAATTGCAATAAAATGGAATATACTATTTTTTCACTTGCATTAATTGAAGTATTTAAGAGAGAGGTTAAAAAAAAAAAAAAAGGCTGGAACTATATATCAGTAGGAAGGACTTCAACTGCAATCCTAAGACACTTACCTGTGGTGTTGCTTCAGAGAAAAATGCCAGGCCAACTAAGAAAACAAGAAATACAGAGTGAAAAGCCATTGTGGCTATCACTAGGAATTCTCAGTGGCAGCAAGTAGAAACTGATGAGATCTGTGATTTTTATATCAAGACCTCTAAACTAAGACTGCTTATCAATCGGGGGGGAAAAAAAAGCATCTGACTTTGAACATGCTGATTCTTACTATTTACTTAGTAAATAATGAGAAAATAAGTAACCCATACAAACATGAACCTTGTCTGTGAAAATAAATCCATTTTATTAATGCCTGTGGGAATAGTGAATATTGCCTAGCTTAACTGCAGCAATCTGTTTTCTTGGAAGCAATATCTATTCTGTTTTATTTCTCTTCTGGTTGAACAGTAGTTACAACAGTACTGCTGAAGTCTCATAAAGCTAAGAAAAATAGAAAGATCTTGTTAATTCAAAATTTCCATTTAACTGGGAATTCCTCTGTGTTTATAGCATGGCATAATCAACTTATTCATGTTTATCTATTAAGCAATTTCTCTGTGATAAATATATAACATGTGACCTACTAGTTTTCTTATGTATTCCCATGGAGTGCCATGTTTGGTTTCTAGCATGATAATTGCATTCTTACATACCCATTTCTGGAGCACAGGTAAACAGCATTTTAAGTTCTCTTACTTTAGTAGTTCCTTACATTTCATACAGCTTCAGAACTTTATATGTATAACTGCAAGTCAGCGCTCACCAGAAGTCTCTTTTTCATTTTAGGTAAATACTATTTCCAGAAGTGAGATTGTCTTTATACCTACAGATGCCTATATGCCCAGCTAGGACATTAACTTCTTTTTTTAATGTCTACAGTAGGAATATGTTTACATTTTGTTCAGAAGGCTGGTCACAGTCCACTGCAAATCAAACCTACTGGTTTTCAAGTTTTAGGAATTGCAAAATTCCATGAAATGACATTCATGCTTTAAGATGGATCCTGTTTTGAAACTGTTTGCACTGTCTGTTAGAATTGTGTAACTGTGGTAGGGTCCAGAAATCAGGGAGAAAAGTAATCAAATAGCAAAATGCTAAAGGCTTTTGTAACCTTGTGAATTCTCTTGGTATAGAGTCATCCCACAGGCTCCTATGTGGAGATTAGCTCCAAGGTCAGTAGCAGATTAGTGCTGATAGTTCCTGAATGGCTGAGTTCAGTAATGTTCTATATTATTTCTGTAATCTCATTAAACAACAATTCTCTGCTTCTGGATATCATAAATAGAATCAGCTATCTTTCTACAGAAATTACTGTTAGAGCCTTCAAATGTTTGGGTCCATTTATCAACATTATTCAAAACACAGTCACTCCACAATTTACCCTGTCCTTCTTCTAAAAATTTGAAAATAGTATTAAAGTAATGCTTCCATTTTAGGAATTTTTTTTTTTTTTATGGACAGACATTCGACTTACTAGAGGTAGCCAACTGTATTAAAGAGCAGAGCTTTTACAATGATGGAAAGTGAAATTATTTCAGAACTTCCTAGATTCAGTGAGCAGCAATCCTTCCCCGTCAAATCAACAAAGTTTGTCTTGAAATTTTAAGTAAAGCTACGCAGATCTTAGCTCAGCTCTCTATATTTGTATATCTTAAAAGGCTTTCTATATTGTTTGTGTTGCTGCTTGGTACTCAGAATTTTTCCTATTTACCCTGTGACCTAATTAATAGTGGGATCCTATCTTCTGTGTGTAAACCAAATAACATGAATGAGTTTCACAGTTGGAGTATGCTTGTCTGATTTTTATTTTTTAAGATAGTAGAACTGTCTTATTTTGAACCAATGCATTTGCTGAGTGGGGGAAGTTAACAGAACCAAATCAAGTGTTAATTTACTTCCCTGTGCCACTCACTGTTTCTAGATGTCACAACGTGTCTAGATGACACAATTTATAACACTTCAGGACATAATAAAACTTGACCAATAGAATCAAAACTGTTTTAAAGAAGTTACATTTTATTGACTTGTCTGAATTTTTGCCAGGTTACAAAATGAAAAAAAAAACAAAAACAAAAAAACAACTAATGTAGCAAAAGGACATGCATTAGCAATAGGAAAAACCTTCCTGCTAAAAACCTATAATAGTCCTAGCAAAAGAGGGAATATATGTATTGACAGTATGTTTTTATTCCTGGGGATCACTGACAACAGCAGTTGTTGAGTAAGAGAAAGGACTGAGGAGAGCAGCGATGGTATAATGGCGGTGGCCAGAATCATTAGCAGTGAACACCACCTGGAAAAGAGAAAACTTGTAATCATGAGGAACAACGTGTACTCAAATCTAGCTTAACATTTAATATTAGGAAGTATACTCAAATTGCTGCAAACTGCTGCCAGTTCTGTTCAGTGGTTTCACCCTTGCAAATGCTCACCACTACTTCGTAATGCTGAAGACTGAGAAATTAGTGGGACTTAGACTCATGCCCTTGAAGGGCTTCACCTGCAGTGAAGTTTAGTAAAGACACCTACCACCTGAATCAGGCATGCACATTTCTGGTTTGTGATGCAGAGTAGGAGGATGAGAGGGTGGTAAATAAACCAACCAATAAGAAAAACAGAGGAGAAATACTCTAGCTTAAATGCAACGTCTGTATTCAAACAAGGCAGGCAATGGTGATGGGTCAGTTGTTAATGCAAGAAATGAGTTGCTAGACTTGTAAGAGCAGAAAGACCCTTGTCCTGAAAGAATTTATATTTGGATATGAATTCCAATTACTCCCTGGAAGTTGGAATACCCAACTCCTAGGAAAGTGCCATCAACTGGATTAAGCTCCCACATTCTTTGGCTTTCTTTAGTCTGCTACTTGAACTATTTTCAGATCCATGGTGTACTTCTTACATGTGAGGACTAGAGAGCTCCCCCCTATATCCATCCTGTCAGTCTCTAAACAGATGGAATGTGAGGACTGTGGGCTACAGTTACCTTTTACTCATTTGTTAAACTTCGTCCACTTCCCAGGACAGTGGAATGACTTACGGAATCATAGAACTGAAGAATCACCAGGGTGACCTCCAGGATCGTCCAATCCAACCATCTCCCTACCACTAATATTTCCCAACTAAACCATGTTCCTGGGTACTACATCTAAACATTTCTTGAATACCTCCAGGGACAGTGACTCAACCATCCCCCTGGGCAGTCCATTCCAGTGTTCTTTTAGAGACAAAATGTTTTCTAATATCTGACCTGAATCTCCCCTGGCATGACTTGAAGCATCCCCTCTAGTCCTGTCATTAATTATGTGGGTTGAGAGGCCAACACCCACCTCATCATAACCTCCTTTCAGCTACAGTACTATGTCAAAGGAACGCATCCTCAACAACCTATCTGGAACGACCTCAACCATGTGCCTTTAAGCACCTTTGGAGGTGAAGGTCTGAGGCCCCATCTGTATTTTCAGACATTCAAGTGACTCAGGAATATTTTCAGGATTGTCTGTTTGACCTAAATCGCTCAACTTGCTCCTCAGGCTTCTATAGATCTGGGTCTCAGTCATTTGTTTTGCCTTCCACAGATCTTAAAATTGCAATTTAGCATATTTTACAAAGAAATTCTGTAGCTGTTCCAGAACTCTGTATGTAACATGACAGTGATCTGTTTTACTGCTCTTTTAGTATGAAAGCGCTGTATTTTTTGTGTCCAGCTGATACACTACATGGTATATATAGATCATTAGGTGTGTTCTCAAATACTTACATCAGCATATTCATGGAATGGGGAAAGGCCAAGTCCCTTCCAGTATGAACTGGTGTCAAACTCAACCCTGTATACTCCTTCTACAAACTGTTCTTCTGTTGTGAGCTCATGGATCTCACCATACTCTGTGGTTTTCCTGTAATGATAAAATATCTACATAAATATTTTGTATTGTCATTTAAATGCTAGGCAGAAACAGTCAGTGTTGAGTGTTAAATAGCACAGATGCTGCACAGACAAATTTGATACTGAATGATTTCTAATTATGTGAAATAATTCCCTCCCGTGTAGCATATACTTCCATATTGCAGAACCTGTCTCAGCTACCAACTTATTCATGTATATCACAAATCTCAGTTGGTTGTCTTTTTTTCTGCTTTTTGGTCATCTTTACTGCTATGGCAGGATTATATTTAAGGCCTCTGTTTTAATATCACGTTTAACTTGTACCAAGTGCTCTCTGGAGCTGAATGTCAGTGTCTTAGGAAAAGGATTGTCACGATGAAAGGCAAAATGCCAAACTTCAAATTATAATTAGAGAAAAGAGATTTTAGTCGGAAATGATTTTATTCACTAGATATTAACACTGAGACTATAGATTTTACATCTAAACCCTAATAGATTTTTATATGACCCTGAACGGTAATGTCTTGAAACAGCAGTTTAGCATCACAAGATTTTGGTAATTTGTATTACAGTGCAGTGGTCAAAGAGCAGGGACTTCTTCCACTGGGTGCCATGTAAATGAGAAATAGGAATTCCCAGCTCAAAGAGGCTGTTTATTCAGTTTGTAACAAAATATTGGGTGGACGACATCCAGACACAAAGGGAAATATAGCTGGTTTTGCATAGTACGGTCTGAAAAAGACCAGGCTTTGTATGACAGCTGCTGAAATGTTCAGCTACTGAGGTACTAAACCCCTTATATGCCTCTCCTTTCATATTCTTCCCTCAATCTTTTTATCTTATTTTACTATTTCTACTAAAAATGTTTATATAATAACACATTCCATAATCGCTTGATGCATTTGAAGGAAATGTAAAAACCTGACATAAAGAACAACCTACCCAATCTACAGAAAGGAATAACTTTCTATAAATGAGACAGAAGAAGATTAGGAGGGAGAGGGGAGAACACAGTAACCTACAGCTTCTTATCAGAGAAAGAAACCATTGTGCTATCACAGCTTTTCTTTCTCCACCTTCTCCATCTCAATTGTCTTCTTTTCAGTTAGTGATAGTGCATTAAAAAAGTTATGATAAATTAAGAATTAAGAAGACATTCCAACTCTAGCACTTTGAAGACTGACCAAAGCATTACAGCACAAGTCTAGTCCAGCTGAAATCAGCTGTATCCAGGGAAGACCGAACTTGTATTAAGCCAAGCCCTGATTGAAACATGGCTCCAGGCAGTTTGTGAAGAGATTTTCTTTTAGTTTAATTAGTACTTCCAGCCTCAATCTATCTTGCCTTAAGGAAAGGCAATAGGCAAAATGCTGAATAATTCATTGGTGAGTGCTCATGTGTCCTTGAATTTGTGAAACAGAATTGCTGAAATTCTGTAGAAGTGTTTAAAGTGCAAGTTAGCAATTCAGGTATATCTGCTTAGAAGCTGGATAGTTAAGACATAAATCAATTAAAAACAAATATGATATCTGACTGAAAAATCTTTTTTCAGGTAATACATTTTACACACTGAATTTTAAAACTGAAAACAAGATTCTTCTTCACTGCCAAGAGTTCATGGCAATTTAAAAAAAAAATAAATCACTAATATGGGGTAGCTATTCAGTGCCAGTGGTCTCACAAACAAAATGCTTGGAGCTATTGTTGCAGTGACATTCAATAGGATAGTATGTGACTCAGAACCTGGATGGGATTAGCACAAGGCAGAGGGCTCCCTGCCATCAGCCCTGGTAGCAAAATGGTTCAACTCATTCCTTCTGAGCAGCACTTGTATTTCTGTCTGAGCATCTGTATTTACTTCAAATACACGGCAATTTTTTTTTTCTTTGATGATTCAGAACTTAGGTCACATGAGAAATATTTGATGAATGAAACTCTTGAACTTCATTGTAAAGATTTCCTAAAACATGTGAGGAGTAAGAAAGTTAAAGCTAGTCATGGGAAGAGTTCATACGGAACACAGATCACATGCCTTCCACATCTCTGTGCCCTCTGGCCTTCCTCAGAGAGCGTCTCTGTTGGACTTAAGCTTTTCATGCATATTTTGGTCAGACTAATTTTGAAATAACCCTCTTAATGAAATCAGCTGTTGTTATGAAATTTAAATAGTAATTATCCACGTTCACGAGTGGAGAGATGTGTTTGCTTAATTTCCTAAAACTTGTTAGAAAAACAGCAATGACAAATAAACAAAAACAACCAAACCTAACAAAATTTTTCTATGGACATCTGGGAACTTTTACAGTTTCTAGCAGGTGCATGTAGAACTTCATAATATTAACCTGACAGTTTCAGTTACAGATTGTGTTCCTCGATTGCATTTGGATTTTCAACATATTTATTACAGATAAACTCTGTTTTTCCAAAAAAAGAACACTGCAAATAAGTATGAAAAACTATTTCAAATAAGTGCTTTCAGCTAAAGTCTGTGGTGTCACTGAAAGCAGCCTTGGTTAAGAAGAAAGTCAAAGGAGAGGTCACAATCTTTACCTGCAATATAAATGGTGGTTTAATGTTTCTTTATTGCTTTCCCTGGCAAAAAAAAAAAAGAGCTTCTTTCTTGCCTACAGATAATCTCCTCATTTATTTATTTAAATATTTTAAATACATTATTTGATTTTTCTCAGACTTTCGCTGTGACTCGAAGTGCCAGAAGAACAAAGGCTAAGAACCACCACGCGATTTGTCTCTTCGAGCTTCTTAAGAGCAGCCTTGCAAACTGAACTGTTACGTTCACAATGTGACTATTCTTAACACTGATGTTGCATTTATCTTATTACAGTGTGGATTCTATTTTATACTGCATATTAAAGACCAATTGATGAAGCATGCAAAGGAATCTGGATTTCCTAACAATAGCACAAATTCTTGTTAACAACAAAACAATAGCATTGTCTCCACTTCCCCTGAAAGCAAGCTGTCAATTTTTAGAGTTTCTCTGGCTTTCTCCTTGAAGTATGTAAGCCTATTCTGAGGGCCATTTATTCCCTTATTACCATTCAGTATTTCATAGAATCACAAGATCACAGAATGGTCTGGGTTGGAAGGGACCTCAAGGATCATATATCTCCAACCCCCCCCCCCCCCC